ATCGTCCCACTGCCCCCCAATGTGTCCGCCATCGTCAACGAGTCCTCATCAGGGACAGAACCACAGCGAGGACTTTATTCCCATCACAATGTGACACAAGGCCCAGGACAAGGATAGAAAACACTGCACTATATACATTCTCAGCACCTCCCCTCCTTGTTTACATTCTCAGCACCTGCCCCTCCCAATAACCCCTCCTTGTTTACATTATCAGCACCTCCCCCTCCCAATAACCCCTCCTTGTTTACATTCCCAGCACCTCCCCCTGCCAATATCCCTCCTTGTTTACATTCCCAGCCCCTCCCCCTCCCAGTTTACATTCTCAGCACCTCCCACTCCCAGTTTACATTCTCAGCACCTCCCCCTCCTTGTTTACATTCTCAGCACCTCCCCCTCCTTGTTTACATTCCCAGCCCCTCCCCCTCCCGATGTGCGCACACATTTACCTTGCTGCTGACCACCAGGTCCAGCCACTTCAGCTGATTGATGATGAGCCGCGGGATGCTGATCCCATCGCTGCCGAAGCTGGAAACACAAAGAAGAAGCTGGGAGGACTCAGCTGGAGGACTCGGCACACAGAAATCATACCAGAGAAATGAAGTGTACCTGTCATACAGGAATTCCGGCATCTTCTCAAACAGCATGTTTATCAGGGGCCCCTAAAAGCACACAGACAGTCCGTGAGAGTGACAAGACAGGTCCCCGAAATGTCCCAAAGAGCAGATGAGCGCGGACATACCTGCAACGCCTCCATGCCGAGCAGAATTCTGATCAGACTGTCATGGAACGAGCTGAAGACGGGATTGCTGAGAGAGGAAAGGACAGATGAGTGACCGCGCTGAGTGGAGGAGACATCGCAGAATTCAGAGACTCGGGTTATACGTCCACCCGAGGGGCGCTCACCTGCCGTGTCCCTCTACGGCCAGCGGGGGAGGTGCAGGCACAAGGGGGAGTCTTCCACCCCAAAATGCTGGGAGGGGAAAGTGACCCGGGCAATTGTCTGCCCCTCCCCCGTATAGAAGGCGCCCCCTGTGCAGTGTCAGGGTATTTCTATACAAAATGACATAAAACTGATGAACTATGACTTGTACAGAAAACTAAATCAAACTTTTCTCTACACTGTGACACAAGGGCCCCGAAGTCTGTGCTGGACAGGTAAAGTAATCAACCAAAACAGCCCATTGTGTACAAACTAAGCAACAGACAATTCCCTCGGGGAACCAGCTATCGTACTAACCAACCAAATTCTAAGAGATAAACATTGCCAATGAAGTCTAAGATTTGGGTAACCGTGGAATCACAACTGACAATGCTGGAAGACCTCTAAGACTTCCGGGTCAGTACATAGAAGAAATGAAGCAAAGACCCGGATTAAGGATATGACGGCCCCATATGAGAAACCAACCAAGAAACATAAAACTCCAAGACGGACAATTCGCCCGATTGCTCCAAGATGGATATCACCGATGATCATTGTCTCAGGTCGAGTAAGTTCTCAAACACACCCGAGGCTTCCTCAAC